TTACAAATATTTATAAACTACATAAAAAAATTAAGAACCAAAGTAAGTTAATAAAATGAGTACCATTACTCATAAGACCTACAGTACTTTTGCTAAGCTATGTATTATTTATACGTTACTTAAATGGCAGCAGCGTGTTCACGCGTCGCTTTGGCTACACATCAAAAACTAATTGCCAGTATACTATATTTGTATAACTAATGCCCCTTCATACATGCCCACACACAATAGCAGGCTTGTCATATACATAAAGCAGCTGATAAAGATTTTTTCAAAAAATTATTTATGTGGTCTAAATTTATTTGCACCACTAACCCAGTTAACTAAAAATACAAAAAAAAAAAAAAAAAAATGTTTTCCGAAATTCGCTTTCATGCTGCAGAGCATTGAAAAGTTCGCTGTTTCTACCTGCCAACTCAGAACGCTGATTCTTGTTATCTTCCAACTGGTACGTAACAACTTAATCGGTTACGTTTGCTTTGTGCAGGTATACATATAGGTATTTCCATATGTATGTATGCTTATACTAACTACGAATATAAAGACATTCATAAGTATTTATCACATTTTGGAAAGTGAAAGGGACATTTTCATTGACAATGTGGTATTTTAAGTAATTTATGTCAAATATTGCTTGTTAGAGAAATTGGTGATAAAAATACAAATAAAAAACCTCAAAAATTTTATTTTTCCATTATATTTTAAATAACGAGAAAAATGATGAACACCTGTCTTGACTAATCAAATTTATATATTGCTCTGAAATGTTGCTGAAAATATTTGATATGTATATATAAAATGTGGATATAAAACTTTATTTTTTAAGTATTCCATAATAAGTTTATTTTAAAGGTTTTTTTTTTTGAAAAATAATTAATTTCCAGTATTTTCCAAAAAATCGAAATTGAGCTTTTTATTGCTTACGATTCGCTATATCAGAATAATATATTTACCCTCAGATATAACCAATATATAACCATTTTATAACCAATACCCAAAATTTAACTAATACATAACCAATTTACAACCAAAACCCAAATTTTGTTTCAATGTTAGTGGCTTCTATTATACGCTTTTCTTTTGTCTGTAAATTTATGAAAAGTAATGTTAGCATTTCAAGTGACGATATATGTATGTATATTAGATTTGCGTGCAATTAATTGCATTGTGTGCATTATGTACACAATTTTATACTTAATTAAAGAGATTAACACTTCTTTTGTTTACAAAAGTTGTCTGCTTGTCAACTTCTTATCAGTTGCATTTTAGAACTGTGCTACAATAATATTGCTCCGACTTCATTATACTAAATATAAGCTAATTGCTTAAGGCTCTAATCTTTGTAGCTTATGTTTGCACTACAGATTAAAGAAAGAACAACAAATCACCAAAAGAATAATAAAAAATAATACATGTAGGAGGAACAAGGCTCTAATTGTGTCAGAAAAGAAGGGAGTAAATAGAAGAGTAGAGAATAGTCGCGAAAGTATTCTGCATTTTTTTTTATAATCAACTAATTCGAAAAAGGGGCGATCTGGTATAATAGAGTGACAATAAATATAAAATGTATATGAATATAAGTTTGTATACGTGTGTATGACTCTGTACCATACAAAAATTAAAAATAATTATTCACCATTAATAAAGTAGGAAGCTGTGTTCCAAATGCTTAGAAATGTGTGTATTATTTGTATGTAAGTTTGTACCAACAAAAATACATCACAATTTTAACAAGAAATACTATATATATCCTTTATTTTTATATACACACTGATGTTTGACATTTTTGTAAACTTCATAGCCCTTGCGTCATAAATTCATACATCTTTGCATAAGCATGTGTATGTATACGCACGTGTAAAATTCAGCCGGCAGCCGGCCATTAGCTGGGAAACAAAGGAATTTGCAAAATAAAGCCTGCGAAACAGCGTTGTCATGAATGGCGGTATAATATTGGTGAATCGAACAAAAGCAGCTGTGCGTGGGTGGAACGTAGTGTTGGTGACGTATACGCAACACAGTGCAGCTGGTATTTCTCACTGCCGGTCGGTCAGTCTATTGAGCCTATTGTGCTAGAGAGCATAGAAAAATGCGAATACATTTGCATGCTTTGTATTATTTCATACACACACAGATACATGCACCTATCCGCTGCCGGCACGCACTTTACATGTAAGGTGTACATACATGTACATATGTATGAATATATGCATGTATACATGTGCTCGACAAACATTAGCGATCAGTGCGCCTTCATTAGCAGAGCGACAAACACTCATTATTGCCGGCAAACGCACGCACAAACACAATAGAAGCGGCGACCCAACGCCTACTGGCCGGTGTCAACGCACTTTGTACGCGCAATTTTCGCGAATTTGCCAAATTTATCATTTTTATTATTCGCTTTGCGTTTTTTCTTTTGTTTTGTTAACTATTTTCTATGCGCAGCGCTGACATGCGCTCACGCACGCGCGCTCTCTCTCTCTCACACTATTTATCTCTATGCGGAGAGCTAGTAAAATATTCAATAGTGCGAATTGTATCAGTGTGAGTGTGTGTTGGCGTATTTGCACTCCTGCTTTGTTGCTAGCAAATTTTTGCAAATTGCGAATTTGTGCGAAACGCACCGAATGCGCGTCAACCTATTTAGCGTTCATTGAACTCCGCTCAAGGTAAATTTTAGCAGCGTTTCCGCAATCTTGCGGCCTTTGCGCATAGCTAGACGTACGTCGATCATCAGTTACAAATACTATAGTTTGCTACGCAGAGAGAGAGTGTGTGAAAGGTGGGAGGCCGGCTTGCAGCATTTGTGCTTAGTAGGTGACGGAGAGCGTTTCGCCGGCGTGCGTGGATTTGCAAGTGGTTGATCGGGCGTTATTGATAGCGTGCTCTACTTTCATACACATATACATACATGCAAATTGAGTTATGGTGAGCGCTGACTTCTGTGGAGACGCTACGCATAATTCATGATTTCTTACGTTTTTGCAAACTTTGCTCGTTCACGTGTCGAGTTTATTTCATGTATGTAATTGTGTAGTTTTGCGAATTTCGTGTCATTTTTTTTATGTACGTAGCTGTCAGTTCAATAAACTCAAGCGGAGATGAGCAATTAATATTCTTTATAAAAAGAAAGCACTACTAAAAAGTTGTTTATAAATTACAAA